GAAGGACTGTGAAAGAGCTGTTGTGGGGTTACAAGGATCCATTTCTGAGTTTGGTTCCATATCCTGTTAATACTACAGTTGGTGTATTTTATCCTGTAAGTACCAAATAATATTAATGTTTTAAAATGCTATTAAAATTGTGTCATTAGTATGGTTTTCAAATATATTAACCCATTTGTTCATCTACAAATATATTTTGTGATTAAAATGAAAACATCCTCATATTACATGTCATCAACTTTTCTAGTTGGGAACATGTACTTAAGTGAATTTAAACAAATTCTGCTTTCCATAAATAACAAATTTAATATCAGTAATTATTGGATTTTCTTTCTCTTTTTATAAAATTAAATTTGCGTCCAATATTCAAGGGCTCTCTGGAGGGCTAGTGATAAAAATCTGTACTACAATCACAAAGGTATGCAGTTTGAATCCACCAGCTACTGTACGGGAGAAGGATGGGCAATCTCCTCCCGTGTGATTTGCTGCCTCTGAAAGTTCGCTGTAGGGTCAGCTGTGAGTCAGTTCTAACTGAACAGCACACATCAACTACAACCAAGTTTTAATAAGTGTTAGTGTAGTCAAACTGTAAGTTTTTCTCTAGACTCTTTATAGATTTCTAAAATTTCTCTACACAAAGTTAACCTAATTTGCACACTCCAACTAGATTCTTCAGCCCGCTTTCCCTATTTTAGTAGAACTAGTGTATAAGAGGAGCTCTCATGGCCTATTGGCAAGAAGATCCACTGCAATTCAGGCCACCAGCTGCTCTGCAGGAGAGGATGCGCAATCTCCTCCCGTGTGATTGTGATTAACTGCCTCTAAAAACCTGCTGGAGGGTCAGCAATGGGTGACTCTAGGGTACACAGTAACAGTGTATAAGAATTTCTAAAGACTCCATGAATTTACATATTAAGCGAAAAGTGAATTTGTGATATTATCACTTTATGTTCCCAATTAACTAATAATAATGAATTAGAATGTGCTACTAATCATGCCCTTATTGTCTTAATTATAGATAGCACTTAGAATTTCAATATTTAACAATAATTTTAATATTACTGTGTAAATCCTTAAATATGCTAATAATGAAAATGTCCTCACTGACTTAATAATGATAGAATATTGGATTTTAAATTGTATTACTTCCAGTGTTAATTTTAGGGCTTGTCTCTCTTAAGTATCTTTTTTTAATTAATGATTTTGGATTTCCTTTCATTTATTCATTGTTGCACTTTTCCCTGCCCACCCCCCCCCAGTAGAATAAAAATTCTTTCTTTGGTATATAATACCTCCCTCTCCCCCTGAGAACACTCCACTATGCAACCTTCATTCTGGACTCTTGTGATAACCATAATACCCAATCATACATCTCTTGTAGACTGTTCTCTCTCTCATCTGTTTCAATGCAGTGTGTACATAATTTATCCATTTTTTCTCAGTCTCACCCCAACCCTGATGTTAGTCCCGTTCTATAACAGTGGCACTATGCAATATTTGTCCTTTTGTGACAGATATTTCACTCAGCATAATATCCTCCAAGGTCACCCATTTTGAATAATATTGCTTGTGTTCCTTGTTTTTAATGTAGCATAGTATTCCCTTGTGTGGCTATATTAGGGTCAGCTACAATTTGGATTTGACTCAATGGTACATAATAACAATATAACACTAATTTAAACTACCTTAATTGTGTATGCATTTTAAATCACACCAATAACCAAAACCAACACCACCCCCCCTCCCGCTACTTAAGAATTCTGGGAGTTACACGTTTTGCAACTTGGAAAATGTGACTCACGTCGGAATTTTTTCTTTTTAATATCTTTCCAGTACAATGATACTGTAGATGGAGTATATAAGGTTTTCAGTGGAAAGGACGACATTAGCAAAGTTGCCATAATTGACACCTATAAAGGTAAAAAGTAAGTATCTGTGTCAATTTGGGGTTTGTGTGTGTGTGTGTCTTACTGGAGTACTCTGAGGCAGAGGAGACATTCCCTTGATTCTGGAAAAGACACAGGTACCAACCTTTCGAACAATCATAGCTGTATCCTAGCCTCTTAGCAATGTCTTTTGTGTCAGAGGCTAAGTACACGACAACGGAAGGGTCACCAGTCATAGTACTGAGTATTGGTACCACTTGTGGTTTGCTTAACCTTTTAGGTGTGACTTCACTTCCATAATGAAATTCACAGAAACCATGATGTAGCCAACTCATACACATTACTCAAACTAGTACATTTCACAAATGAAAAGTAACAAATTCAATCTACCATGACTACATGTATCTCTAAAAATGATTAGTGAATATTTTCAGTCCTCATGGCTTTTTCCTTGGCAGAAGAATGTGGAAAACCCCAGATTTTAAAACTTTAGTTATGTAAAAATGTAATTACTACTGTTCTAAAACTTACATGCTAAACCTAAAATTAAAAATGCATGCTTCTTTTGAAATGATGAAAGAATGAGTTATCTTGGTAGAGCCATGCTGTCCATTCTGTTTATAATTCCAGTAGGTGTTCTGGAAAATAACCAATTTAGAAGAATAGAAAGAACCATAGTGGGGAATGGTGTCCTTTTTTTCCTTGGAGCATGTTTTAGACCTACATATCTTCTGATAAATAAAATAGATAAAATAAACACAAATGGAAAAACATGTTTTTATTAATATCAAAATTTGTTACCTCATGCTGAATCCTTAAAAATTCCGTATTTTATCTTTATTCATGAAATATTTACTAATGTAGAACTTTTTCTAAGTGCTTGTTTTGGTGGATGTAAATCAAATCCAGGTTTATTGATTAAGGAGCAATGAACTTTTCACTGTTTCCACATTATTAGAGGTTTTTGTGGAGAGAGACTAAGGGATCTAATCACAAGAGTTTTACATCCATTTAAGACTATGATCAGCTTTACTTAATAGATCATAAAAGATGGAATGATTGGCATCTTATTGTTTCTAGTCATTTAAACATCTGCATATTTTTCTTTCCTCCCCAAACCCCTTTGCTACATTAGACTGAACTTTTATCAGCCACCCACTTTTTCTTTAGTTCACCTTAATCTACTACCAAATAGTTTCTTTCTCCCCTTGGTTTTTCCATTTAAAAAACCCCAAAACCAAAATAAAACAGAATCAAACCACAAAAATCCTCTCCTGAAGATTTTTATCTAAGTCTCATTTTCAATCTTCTGGAATGGTTAGATTCCAATCCTTTTCTCATACTTTGGGCACTTGGAGAGTCCAGGCACTTAATTAAGCTCAACAAGACAAAACCTTAAAACAAACATGAACTAAATGAATACTTTTTAATTTTACTTTATTAATGTTAATGAGCATTTACAGAAATTTTGGATTTCCATTCATTGTTGCACTTTTCTCCCTGCCCCACCTCTCCCCAGTTCACTTATATTAGCACAAATATTAAATGATATCTTAAAAAGGAAAGTGGGACAAAAAGGTGCTTTTGAAATTAAAGTTCTCTATTAATTGTCTTTAATTTTTTTATTCCTAAGGAATCTCTCTGTTTGGCCAGACTATTGTGATATGATTAATGGCACAGGTATGTACATCTTGTTTTGTAGTAAAAATCTCAATGAAACCACAAATTTACTGTGTTCTCAAAGTGGAGGGTGTATGTTTGTCTTCACTTGTTCATGGCCTACTGCAATCTCTATTTTAAAATAGGCTTAGTAAATGTTTTATTTGCTAGATTTCCTGAAGATTAGCCATAAAAGGTTTGCTTTGCATTGCAAGGGAATTATTTGCTTTGTGAAACTTTGCCTCATACTCTCCTATGTTAGCAGAAGAAAAGACTTTACAAAGTCCTGTTCACGTCTCTGTTAACATTTTGTACAGTTAACAACTTAGAATTGAAAGAATATAAAAATAGATCATTACATAAGGGAGATTTAAACCTAAGGTAGACTCTGTCTGGTTAAAAAACCAGACAGAGCCCTTTCTTCCCTGGAAGAGATAGTTAGAATTCAGCGATACAACAATAGCAAAACTATAGATATCTAATTGGCTGAGAAATACATAACAATTCTTGATTAAAAGTTAGAAAAAAGGAAGCACTTTGAATTTACAGTATGACTAAATCTGTATTCATTCATTAAAGAAAGAACAAAATACAGATGTCTACTGTATTATATTTGAAAACTTTTTAAAACCTATTGCCATGAGGTCTTTAAAGTCAAAGGTGAGTTTTTAATTATGAAGAAGCACAAGCACAAAGTTTACAAGATATCTAGACAGTACCTCAGGGGGAAAAAAAAGAAAGTTAAGTGAAAGGTTATGTAAAAGAAACGCAGAGAAAGCTTACTATTTAAAAATGTATGACTGTGTTCTGCATGTTTATTTCATTTTCTTGCCCCTCACTTGTATGGAGAAAAAACAAAACAAAACAGAGATTGCTTGATTTACTTTGTGGGTTTTGAGCTATTAGGGTGGATAAACACATTCCTTTCTGAATAAAGCATTTTTGCAAATAAAGCATCAAATATCCCAGTAATACTAACTAGTACTTGTGTAAGCATAGTTCTTCAGTACCTGATACAGAGATGAATGTTCTGTGCTGCTTCTAACCAGTGAAGGAGTGTTTAGGCATTTAAGAGGGGTTGGGTGGAAGGGAAGCATTAAAAAATACTGTCGATGTTTTCCACAAGAAGAGGTAGAACAATAAGTATTGGCAATTGTATTAATTCATGGCCATCAGGCATGAAATGAAATATATCTGAAGAACCTCGGAATAAAACATCAGTGAAGAGAGGTGGGATAGTCGGGGACTAGGATGCTAGCTAACCTTGTGTGAGAGGCCCTCAGTTTCCACACAGAGGAAAGACCAATGGAACAAAAAGAATTCTTTCTAAGATAACATGAACAAACAAAATCTCTGCTGATATCCAATATCTTGTGGTAATTCTGCATTGTGAATACCATTAGGGTAAAATTCTCTAGCATATTTCAGATCTATAAAGTTTTTCAATATTTTCTATTTAATTGTTATTGGGGTCTAGGAGCTGTTAGCACTACTAGAGTAAGGTCCTATAATGAGAAATTTAGGGAGGTCTGGTGACTTACCCTGTAGGGAGTTGTTCTGCTAATGTAAAGGGTATGCCTCTCTGGTGACTCAAATGTAATTATCAACTGTGTGGGAAAGATAGGCAATCACCTTCTGTGTGATTTACAGCCTTAGAGACCCATGGGTGGTCAGTTATTATACTATTCTGACACAGCAGCAGAGATAAAGAGGATTCAATATCAGGGTAAAGCAGTGATCACAAAAACTAGGTGAAATTATAATAAGGTCACAAAGAGGGAGTGCTGGCCATAAAAACCACCTTATTATACAAGGGCTATTGAGCCCTTGAAATAAACAGTCTAGAACAACCTTTAGTGTACTATAAACATAAAAAATACAAACTGGATTTTGAAATATTTTTAAGATTTAAAATTAGTCTATAATCTTCAGATAATGGAGTTACATAAAAATAAGTCATGTCAGAGAACCTTATTACCACCATTTAATTTCATAAAATATCCTGCTAGTCCTGAATGTTTGTCTGTTATTTCTTTTTCACAAAGGAAAATTTTCATCTTTCAGAGAGCTTTACTCAATTTTTTTATTTTATTTTAATGAACATTTACAGAGATTTTGGAATATTACTGCTTTTTAATTTTTGACTCATGTTTAACTTGTTAGTTAAATTTGTGTCCTCTAGGCTGCAACTCTTCCATGATACATCTTCAAGGATATGAACATGTACAGCTAAGCACAATTGATAACAGTGCATCTAAATTCCAAAATCAATCTCCATAATAGTCTATGTTTCCTACTGCCAATGGGGCCTTTTAGAGTAGTGAGAGAAGACCTTCACCCTGAAACTCACAGCGTCCCCTTTTAGCAGGAAGTAGCTAAGAGAATACGCCATCCCCTTTCCTTATGAATCAGGGTGAAGTCTCTCTCAGGAGTGATAGGGAATGGCAAAGGACACACTGACAAAAGAGATTAATCAGAACTGGCTTTGACAAGCACTGTGGCAACTGGACAATTAAAACAGACTTTCAAGGGCGGGGGGGAAATGAACTTGGGAGGAGGGTAGAGAAAATAGTGCAACAATGAATGAAAAATCCCAAATCTCTGTAAATGTTCATTAAAATGGATTCTGAAATTTTGATAATGTAAGCTTTTATTTGAATTACACAGTAAAATGAAATATTTTGGCATAATATAGTAAAATATAGCTTTTTCCTACTTCTTGTGAGAAAATAGGTCTAACAGAGAATTAAAATTAGATGTGTAGTTTATACTATATTTTATTGCAAAAGGGATTTCTTTCAGAAGATACTTTAATCTAATATCACTTGTTTGTTTGCTAAACAGACGGAGCCTCGTTCCCTCCTTTTGTTGAGAAGAGCCGGACGCTGCAATTCTTTTCCTCAGACATTTGCAGGTACAATTTAGACAGCAAGGTGTTTCTGTGAATTTGATTTTTTTGTGAGAAGATACAGACCAAGAAGGTCATATTTAATTACGTCATGTCTGAGAATTATGTAGGCAATTTTTTCTTGCTTTTTAAATAAATAGATCCTTATTAGTTACACCTCATGACAAAGAAAAATACTGAAAAATAGACCCCAAAGCAGCAGCAATTTGAAAGATTGAGGTTTTCAATGATTTTTTTTCTTGGTCCCACAAACTACAGTCATGGATGTAGCATGAATGTAATGACAACAGAAGGAATGGGTGGCCTTCTGTGATGCTGTTGAAGCTTACAGAACATGTTGTGGGCTACTAAAGGAACAGACACATCTGCCTTGGAGGAAGTGAATGCAGAACGTTTCTTGGAGGCAAGGATGGAGAAACTGTTTTACACACATGATATCAGGATGTACTATCCCCTGCAGAATGCAGAAAGTCATCATGCTTGGTAAAGGTTCAGGGGGGAAAACCCCCAAAAAACCCATAAAAACAAACCAAGAGAATTCTCCAGGAAATGTACCGGCCCAGGTCTGCAACAGGCAGCTGAAGCACAGCAAGTGGTTTTGAGGCTGGTAGAGGTTGGACCGTGATTCGTTTTGTGTGTGCACGGAGATACTATGAGTCAACACAATGGCATCTAATGATAACACCTCTCAAAATGTAAAAGAATGTAGATTGCTATGCATCGTGGAAACGGATGATGACTCTTTAGAGACCTGTGTGTTATTAATGTGTTGGACGGACCACTGCTAGCGCATTCTTTCAAAGTGAGACCCAAGGCACAGGCACTGACGCTTGAATCCTACATAGTCCCTAAAGAATGTATGGTTACAGAGAAGCATTTGCATCTTTGTTTCTGTCCTGCTTCTCTGCAAAGCTGAAGAAAACATTGCTTCTTCACAAAATGTTACCTGAGATTAAAAAAAAACCCCAAATCAACCCCAATTCATTTCTATTGAGTCAGTATCTGATTTATAGCTGGCCCTCCAGCGGGTTTGCAGAGGTAACTCGCTCACCCCAACCAAGACATTGCCCATCCTACTGCAGAGCAGCTGGTGGATACTGACTGACTTTCCTCTGGCAGCGAAACTTTTTACTCACTGCAAGAATGACTATGGAGTCCATGATTATAGCGGGAGCTTTGGTGGCCTACTAGTAAAAAGTTGTGCTGCCAATCCAAAGGTATGCAGTTCGAATTCCATCAGCTGCTCAGCAGATGGACGATGGTTGTCTGCTGCTGCGCAATCACCTGCCTTTAGACCCTGCTGGAGGGTCAGCTATGGGTCAATTCTGACTCAACAGTATATAACAAGATACAATGTCAAATGGCGATAGAGATCTCTGTCAAATGAGCACGTGTACATATCCATGAAAATGATGAGTTCTCTCTGGAACTAAGTTTTTAAAAGATAGAAACTTGATTTTTTTATTTCACTTAAACTGAATATAAATAATTATGTGTGGAAAATTAATATCAGTGCTTATATGTGGAGAAGTGCCATTGATATCCATCCTGCATCATAGTTCACAGGATACACTGTTCAGAATACTTTCATATTTTGATGTCTTAAATTTTCATAATTTCTTTATATAAAGTTGCAAATAATTGAATAAGAATTTAGAATTTGCACAAGAATATTCTATTTACTTAAAACAAAATGTCACTAGAATACATTTCAATTATCTGAGTAAAACTTTTCCCCCTCCAAATTGTATCTAGGTCAATCTATGCAGTTTTTGGAGGTGATGTTAATTTGAAAGGAATTCCTGTGTATAGATTTGTCCTTCCATCAAAAGCCTTTGCATCTCCGGT